AGGGACAGAAACCCACAGATAAGGTGGGTTGGCTGTGGGTGTGGGTGAGGAGAAAGACAAATACAAATAACAAAAAAGAACAATCTTAATTGGACTAAAAGAAAGGAGTCTGGCATTGAAGCAAGAAAGACATACTTTGATCTTCTGATTGAAAACTATTAAGAAAACAACATAAATTCCCAGAACTTGTGCGCTATGGTAATACAGAATGTGATAATGTGTAGGACATCTCAACAGTGGATCTAGTATCATGTCCAGTAGTCACCCTTGCTTTTTTTGGTGTGTGTGACACGTTTTATTCCCTTGGCAAGATGGCCAAAAATTAGAAAAGGACATACAACAGATGGGGAAGTGTGTGTGTGTATGGTGGTGGGGTGCAAAAGAATACTCAAACAGGATAGGCTAGACATGTAGATATAATGTTGGTGACCATATACAGGCCAGGACTTCCTCCTTATATCTCTATAAATATCAACTTCTAATTTTTTTTTTTTTTTGTCTTTTTCCTTTTTATCGGTACCAGGGATCGAACTCACGACTGCCTGCTTGCAAGGCAGGCGCTTATGCCGCTGAGCTAAATCTCCAGCCCCAACTTCTAAATTTTAATTTTTAAATGATGTACAGTAGTACCCAAGGCCTCTATCAATCATGTACTTCAACATTTGGTTCAAAAAACAGTCACTCTAGTCAAGCTAACTTCATAAAGTAATTTTAAAACCTCAAAAGAATCAATGCCACAGTTTAACTATGGATCTCTAAAATAAAAAATATTTAATATTTCAAACCAACAATGCAAATCGAAGCTAACTCCTTACTAATTTAAAGAATTCTTCTTCACAACTGCATCACAGGGCTATTTATTAAAATTGTTTAAGCAACGTTTTTATAATGTTAAACATCCTGTGATGAGATCACTTGAAATCAAATAACACTGACAATGACCAAAACGCTTAGTTTTCTAGTACCCAAACTTTTTCCAATCAATTGGAATGATACATTTTCATATTAGGTAAACTGCCATGAGCTCTTATGCAGCTGTATTTGAAAGAATAAAAAATTTAGTCAATTTGTATTTTATTGTTGCAGTGTTCAATTCTCTTACTACTAAAAAAAAAGGTAATACCTCGAGCCTGCTTTTGACATTGAACAGCTCTAAGAAACTGATCCTCATGGTTTTAAATTTGAACATTTGGCAGGACTAGATGACCTAGACATTTTTAACTTTTTATTTCTCCTTTAGAAACATCTACATTTTGACAATTTAGATTTAGCCATTACATAATTTATACATGAAAAGAGATAATTGAGTTTTTGATGAGTTTTCTTGCTAACATTTCACTTTGATAACAGTATGTCTATGAAGCTATTAGCAACAACATTGTAAATATACTCAAATATGATAGCCTCTAACATAAAAATGTTAAGTCTACTTTGCTGTGGACACATACAAGATTGCTGACACTTTCACATGCCAACCTCCTTCCTTCCTTCCTTTCTTTCTCTTTTCTCTGTCTTTCCTTTTTTATGACCTTTTTGAAACAAGGTTTCACTATACAGTTCAGACTGATCTTCAACTCCCTTTGTAGCAAGGCTGGCTTCAAACTTGAAGTGATCTTCCTGCCTCAGCCTCCCAAGTGCTGAGATTACAGGTGTGTGCCACCTCACTGGGTTCATTTTTTTTTTTTCCTCTTGTAGTGAAAACCATCTCAAGAAACAGAGAAGTTCTTATGTTTTAGCAAATGAAAAGTAAGCATATGTCAATTGAGCAGGTGGCTACAACAGGAAGATCAGGGCTACTGTATACATGGAGAAAGGGGAAAAGGATATGAGAATGGAAATAAGGAAAGGAAGCACAACTATTACAAAAATTATCTAAGCACTTACGAATTTTATATGGAATCAGTTCTATGCCAAAAAGTGTAAGCACTAAAAAACAAAGTGTTGAGCCAGAAAATAGCTTGCAGTACACACTTTTAAACAGTTGTTGAAATTTTTGAAGAACTAGCTTTTATACTAAACAGAGGAAAAGAAGGAACCTGACATCTTAAGAGCTGGAGGAAGAATAGTCTATGAGGCAGGAAAGAACTTGTCTTGTTTATGTACCTGAAAAATCACAAAGGCTGCAAAAGCAAGAAAACATGAAGTTTGAAGAGTTGCAGGAATGCAGAGGTTTATAGACTATGGCAAAAACTTGAGGTTTTATTGATAAAATGGTAAATTTGACAAAATGTAGTATTTTTCTGATATAATCACTAATTAGTTTATAATAAACTTACAATTTTGGAGCATAGTTAAATCGATAACTGAGAATGTATTTTTATACATCACATAAGTGAATATTTTAAACTGTAAAAAATTCCTATCATCTGTAATTCAGTTTATGATAGTACTGATTGAAATAGTGATTGCAACCATTCTGTTTGCTATAACCTGGCTCTAGAGCTCTGCTCCCTTTGTAGTACACATTGCATGGAATGTTTTCTGCCTGTTGACCTGTTTTGTTTCTTTTCACATACTGCCCAGTAAGCTCCATGAACGCAGGGGCCGACCCTATTTTGTTAACATTCTTTTCCCACAATCTCATACTGTTTCACCTAGTAGGTAAGTAGGTAATCAAATATGATTCATCTAATGTTATTGAGCACTCTGAGTTGTTTTAGACCCTACAGGAATTTCAAGAAAAACAAATACACCATTCTGTACTCTTAAGAAGCTCAAAAGGTTGGGGGTAATGTTATACACAACTAAATTACAACATGCTGTCAACAAACTGCATAGTCCAAAGAAGACATTTAGTCTTACAAAGCACTTTCTTTGTGCAGGAGTGGATAATTATATGAAAAGGTCAATGAAAGTACAAAATATAATCAGATATTTAATGAAAACATTTACTAAAATTACAATTTATAAGTCTTAAAACATCCAGCATGCAGAACATTTGTACTTATGGCAATTGAAGATAATGGCATCCCACTTACTTTATTCCTACTGTGGACTTCAGCATGAAGTGAACATCTAACACGTATTACATTTAAACAAAAAACAAAACCCATAAAACTCCAATTGCTGAGCAGAGCATAAAGTAAACTTACACAACATCCGACCTGTTGTGTGAAATTCCAGAATTTCCACTCCTCCTCCCCACGTCTAAAGGTGCCAAGTTTTGATCTGCACTGATTCAGCAGTATGTTTACAATCCCTTCATTGGGAACTGGGTAGTACATAGGTCTTTCCCACCTTTATGGCACTGCTAAAGGAAAATACTAACGGTCAACACTATCTGGAAAGAGGGTAAGTAATAAAGAACAAGTGAAAAAAGGAAGAAAAAAGAAAAACAACAGGATCACAGGATTCAGTTCAATGTTATTTTACAAAAAATTTGTAAAGTTTTCAAAAACAAGGGGCTTTTCGGCAGACTTGGAAAAGTGGTAGTGTGTAATACAACCTGGATCTAGTACTTTGTAGAAGTGAAACTATGCATTTTTTAAAAAAGGAAATAATTTTTTCCTAGGGGACAAAGGAAAAAAAAGCAACACCCTCACATTTTAGAAGTTATTTTCTATTCAGAACTGTACAGTATGATCCTTAAAAAGAACACAACAGCACCTTCTGCTAGTTTTACCTAATTTATTTGTCTAAAAAATTTACCTAATTTATTTCTTACATTAAGGGTTGTGAAGACAAGTTGCTCAAAGACTTTTAAGTAGTTTTTTTCACAGCACAGAATGAATATGCAGCTTTTATAACTTTAATTCCTGCAATTTTATATGAATGTCAATGACTCTAAATTGGCAATGTTACAAATGTCCTTTCCACAATATTGTGTTTTGAGTCAGTCACTCTAATACACCAGTATTTGTTCACATTCCTAGTAGTTCGGGAGTAGGAACGGAATATTATGAACATATAAAAGGAAACATTAATACTTGTTGAAAAGCAATTTTGCTCACTGTCATAATATACACTCAGTGATAAGCTACAAGACTTCAGGCAAAATCATATATTCAACAGTAATGATGCAAAGTGACAAAAATGCTAACCACCAAACTGGAAAAAAGAAACACAGCTAAATGTAAAGATCTCATTCATCCAAACATTCCTGGGAACACCGGCAAACACGACATCTGATATCTTTTCTCTTTCTCTCACCGAAATAAAATTTCACCGGGAATCTCAGAGCTTGTCAAAACGATCTGAAATTTCTAGAAGTTGCTGATCAAGAAGTGAGGCCCAGCTACAAAACACCACCATCACATTCCAAAAGTAAGTCAAAGCAGGCACGGGATGCTACCAGGTTTGTGGACTGGCATGCACCTGGGCAGGAGGGTGTGGACGTGACAGGCAAGGTCGGTTTCAGGCAGGCAGCGCCCTAGCCCCGGACCCGCTCAACACCGGCTAGCGGCGGCCCTTGCTACTGGGACTTCGCTCCCACGTTGCTCTCAGACTCCCGGGCCAGGGCTCCGCCACCTCAGGCTCCAGAGCCCCCTCGGAGAGAAGTCAGTCGCCCCTAGCCGTCCCCACAACCCCGCGCGCGAGGCTACCCTACGAGAGGAGGAAGAACCCCATCCGCCTTGGCTAGCCAAGCACACCACACCGCAGCGCCCACCCGAGCTTCCAGCACATTCTCCAATCCGCCTGGGGGAAAAGTTCCCACCAACACTTCTTTCTCTCAAAGCCGATCCCCGCCCGCAGCCTTACCCTGACCCCAACAAGTACGCTCCTAGAAAATAACTCCGACTCTGGGGCTCTGAGTGACACCGATCGGCGGCAGCAAGTTCACGACAATTTCGCGATTGCCGTAAAGAGACAGAGAGTAGGAAGGAGCGGCGGCGCGCCCCGAGTCGGATGGATCTCTCGGGAGCGCGCCCAGGCCCCGCCCTGACTGCAAGCAGCTGGCAAGCTCCAGAACTTGGTGCTGCGCTGGCAAGGTCAGCGGGTTAAGGTAGGCGGAGAGGTAGGTTGCGGGAAGAGACTTGCCTCCTACCCCTCACCCCCGACTGCAACTTCTCTGCCAACTTTCCCTGTGGAAAGATGTGTTGGAGGGTGGGAAATTGTGAATGTGGGAAGTGTGCGCGTCGTACCCGGGTGACCCAGTAACCCGGGTGGCCGACGCGCGAAATGCGCCAGGCTCTCACTGCCTTCGGAGATTACTCTGCGGGTCACCAGAGAGGGGTTGCGGGTGGCGGGACTGGCCGGAGCCCCATGGGGAGCGGGTAAGTGCTGACAGGCCGAAATGCCTCATGTCGCTGCCCGATCTGTGTCCTTTCCTAGGTCCCTCCAGGGTCGCCACTTCCCGCCTCCCCTAAGTGATATCTCGCAGCTTCCCTTCGCATGAGACAAAGCGAAGCCGAGGCTTTACATTACTGCCACAAACTAGCGGAAAAATGCAGCAGTCTAAAGACTTCCTGAGATTTTGCTTGCGGATATTCCAAGATCTTTGCCCCCAGTCCCATCAAAAAAGTGTCTAACTTTAGGTCATCACTTCTGGACTCGACTGCCTCTTGGGAGCAGGGTGGATGGAGTCGAACTAATAGTTGTGCCTCCATTCACGGTTCTGGTTGCAAACTACATTGGTCGCGAACCGACTCAAATTCGTTTAGGTTCAATGTGCACATTATGGGAAATCTCATTCCGACCAGTTTGATTTGCGACCAGAATCGTGGAGAGAATTTAATTTGTAAACGAGGCAGGGACCTCTTTTAGGACCTATTCACACAGAAATCAGTTTGTTGCAGAGTGGTCCCCATACCGAAAGGAAATTACTGTTCCTTTGTATTCTCACAGTCGTGATTTAGTATAATAATGCAGCGAAAAAACAGAAAACGCTGTACAGAAATTGTTTTCTAAAGTTTTAATTTATAAATCTACCGAAATGCAACTCTAGATTTGTGTTATTATCCGATTCTCATTTTCTTCCGTGTAATTTATTTTAAAAAACCCCAAAACAAAAACAGTACACAGTCTTCTAAATTGTTTAGAATTTAACTGTTAGAAAATGTATTTGTCAGAAGGCCAGATTAGAAGTTAGGAAAATAAATGTTGTGTATTATGTTTTGCTTTGAGCCTGATGGTTCTTTGGACCCCTGAAAGCAGCTCATGACTTTTGTCTGTTTACTTGGAACATTCGGAATTTATTTTATTTCTTAGAAGTCACCATTTGGAGGAGACTGCACAAGTTAATCTTATTACCAGTGGCTTTTTAATCTTTTGAAAAAATTAACTGGATTTCTGATTCATGGATCTTCAAAGAAAGCACAGAAGATGAGAGGTGCAAGAACATTTTGTTAAACAGTGTTGTTAATACTATGTAAATAAAGTATATTCCTAAATATTTTCAAATATTTTAAAAGTTTTTTTTTTTTTTTCCTTTGGCATGGTTTGGCTTTGTGGTGTAGGCAGGCCTTGAACTCACTATGTAGCCCAGGCTGATCTTAAACTCAACTATGTAGCCCAGGCTGGTGTCCAGCTGGTGGCAATCTTCCCGTCTCAGCCTCCTAGGATTACAGGTGTGCGCCATCACACCTGGCAATTTAAAAATTTAAAAAAAAATTTAACTGTTAACCTTTAAAATTGTAATTTTGCTTGATTTTACCCTACCAGGTCTTCAGCTTTCCAAGGTGAAGTTCCATGTGCAAGTAGTTAACTTTCTTATCTAGCCTGCATTTAAATTTCCCAGTTGTGGTTTGCAAACTGGCAAATCATTTCAGCTGTTTAAACAACAGTGTGGGCAGGCTAAGGAGTTATGAATACAAGATGGTGTATACCTAGAAAGCATACATAGATTGTATCTCATATAATTGATTTGCTATGATAGTATAAAATTACTAAATTGATTGTCCATATATATTCATATATATATGAACCCATTCCTTGTTAATTTTTTTAAAGTTTGAGAAAGGATCTACTAAATCCTTAAGCTGCTGAGGTTAGGTACACTAGTGATCCTTTTGCCTCTGCCTCCTAGAGTGTTGGGATTCATTATATTTTATGCTTCTAGTATCAGTTCTTTAAGGAAAAATAACCTGATATTAATTCTGTAGCTTCATGTTCAGTCCATAAATACTATTAATGTGTTTATATTGTACTATTTAAAATCATGGAGATTTAAATAATTTACTATTTTCTTTGTCTATAGATTTTAGAATTTATAAATGGTGGTTTGCATAATACATACCTGTGTTTCAGTGGGTGACATTTTCATAGAATAAAATGTAAGTATTGCCATTTGAAATTATATAACTCTTGGCATCAGAGAACCAGCTGTTTCCAAAATCAGTGAGGATTTCAAAAATCTACACACTCAGTGAAAGGTGGGCCAAGAAGATACTGTAATTCCCTACTGAAAAAAGAAGGTCAAAAAGGATTTTACATTTTCACCATAGGTTTGGGTAAATAAAGATACCACCTGAGGGCTGGGGATTTAGCTCAGTGGCATAAGTGCCAGCATGGCAAGCACAAGGTTGTGAGTTCGATCCTCAGTACAAAAAAAAAAAAAAAAAAAAAAAAAGATACCACTTGAGAGCTTGAAACTATGGAGTCTGCCATCACTCAGCTTCAAGGTTAATTTACATCATAGCCTAAACTGGAAGCCACAAAATAAAGACATTTGATCCTGGTTATTGATGTGCCCAGATGGCTTGATAAAAGTAAGTATAAACCTTCTGGGAATAATTCACTCTTAATTTAAGCCTTTTAGAATTCTCTGGGTTCTGATCATCCAAATATAAGCGCACAGTTAAAAACCAATAAACTCATGGCAAGGGTTGGCTGACCAACAAATAATGAATGGAACTGGATTCCTAAGGACTTTAGTTAGGAATAATTGGAAACTGAAGTGATTCAGCATTTGTACAAATTGAGAACTATTGTCCCAGAAACCCATGCTAGAGAAGACACCTATAGTATCTTAGGAAGGAATTGGCATTATTAATTTACTAGATGAGGGAAAAGAAATGTTGGTTGGGTCTTAAGGACTCAAGAAACAAGTCTAAAAAAGAGGATATTGTAATAACTTAGGCAAGCAATTACTGAAATAAAGTCTATAGTGACATTGGGGATAATGAAAGAAACTTACTTAGCAAGATGTAAATATACTTATTTAGCAATAAGTCAGATGACCAGAGTAAATGGGAAGTACAAATAAAAAAATAACTGAGATTTCATTATTTGGAAAGTCAGTCTGAGGTAAGGAAAATGAGCACGGTGGAGAGTTGTGGTGAATAGTAGTAACTAGGATCTTTATGAAGTTCTTGAGAAATACTAAATTCTAGTCATCATGCTATGGGAAAATACTCCTCACACTGTTGTATACACACAAGAACAACTTTTTGTAATTTAAAAGCATTTCTATGATTTTAAAAATTAAAGAGGCACAAAGGTATAGTATTTTCTAGTGCACATTATTGACTATTATATAACTTTCACAGTGTGGAATTTAAGGGAGAAAATGATGTATGACATATATGTATTTAGGGCCTCTTTTTTTCCCCCCATGTAGGAACTGGAAATGTAATAATGAATAAAACAGTTGTTTTTTACTATAAAAACTAGTGAGAAAGATAAAATCAAATAGGTGATCAATAAGTATGGTGAGTGTTCTGGTTGGAGGAATATAGGGTGCTGCTGGAAAAATCAGGGATGTTCAGCTGGAGTGAGAAAGAGTAGGGATTTGAAAAAAATATATAGAAAATTAATTGGGTAGGTAATTTGAATGGATTGGTAGCATTGTAACCTGGTCATCCAGACAGGCAACGATGTACATGAAGGTCTGCAGATGTGCAGGAGAATATGGCACATTTAAAAGTGTGTAAGAAGTTTGCTGTAGCAGTGCAGCATATTCTGCAAACTCAAGAATCAAGTTGTTTCAGTTTAAATTTTGTCTCTTCCATGGTCCAACCCTATGGCCTTGGGTAGTTCTCTTATCCTTCGTAATACTACTGGAAAGAGTAAATGAGATCATATATTTAAGGTGATTAGAAACATTGCTAATGCTTTGTTTGCTTTTGTAATGATGAACATGATGAGGTTAGGACAAGGAATCAGGCATAAGAGTAACTGAAGGTGAGTATAGAAAGGTAAATAGAGATTGGATGATGCAAGGACCTGTCAGACCATGTTAATGAAAGACAGTTTGTAATGTCTTACAAGAACCATTGAAGAATTCTTTGTAGGAGAGTAAAGTGATCAGATTGGTACTTTAGAATTAAAAGAGTCACTATAGTTTTAAGGTGGAGTCTAGATTAGTTTTGATCAAGACTGGAAGAGCAATGAGTATGGGAAAAATCAAAAACACTTTGAAAATACTGTTTTTTCTTATATTATTTAGAAATTAATACATGAAGAAGCATAGAGATTTCTCCCAACTACAGGCAATCAGTTTTGCAGCAGATATGTGCTGATTCAATTTAGTTCTGACAGTTCTGCGTATAGATAGCATCAGATAGCACAGGTTGCGAGCTCAACCCTAAAAGATCGCCCCTTACTTCACATACTGTTCACTAGCCCCGAGTTACTTCTAATGGTCAGCTGTCCAAGGGGATTCAATGATCCCCTTCATTAATTCTCTAGAGTGTCTAGAAGATGAATTAAGTTTTTAGTGGCCACAGAACTCTTGTGGTTATTAATTTATTATAACGGATATTACAAAGGATATAGGTAAAGATGTGTATAAGGTGGGGGAGGAGCAAGCTTCTGTCACCCTCTGTCTTTATGGCGTATGCCCTAAACCATCTGGGCACACCACTCTCAGGATCTTTCTTTGATTCAGCTATCTAAAAGTTCTCTAAAACTTTTTATGGACATTTTATTACATAGGCATGACTGATTAAAATATTGGCCCTTGGTTATTAACTTTAGTGCGCATTAGCCTCTTTCCCTTCCTGGGGGGATTCAGTGGGTGGGAGTGGAAGTCCTAATCCATGAATCATGCTTGGATCTTTCCTGTGAATGCTTCCTAGAGACTGCCAATCCCTAGTCATCTCATTATCATAGAAAAGAGGATTCTAAGAGTTTTAGCAGCTTTTTGCCTAGAACAGAAGACCAAGTACAGTTCATCTTCCATATCCCTAAGTTTGCATTTGCTGATTCAGGCAACTAACAGCAAGTTGGTTATTGTTGTTCTCTTATTAACCTGATTTGAAACTTTGTTTTATTTCTATTGTTCTTCTATTTAAAATGAAATTTAAAAATATTTTAAAAAGTGTCATCTGGGCTGCAGCAGCCCCAGGGGGAGAACCATCAGCGTCTCCTGAGATCTGCACCAAATTGGAACTTAGGACACTGGGAAACCAAGCAAGCAGCTCACCTCCCTGGTAAGCGGCTGTGCTGTGGCACGCTGCAGCCACCCCAGGTGGAGAACTACCAGTGTCTTCTGAGATCCACACCATGTTGGAACTTAGGACGCTGGGAAACCAAGCAAGCAGCTCCCCTCCCTGGTAAGCGGCTGTGCTGTGGCAGGCTGCAGCCACTCCAGGGGGAGAACCACCAGTGTCTCCTGAGATCCGCACCATGTTGGAACTTAGGATGCTGGGAAACCAAGCAATCAGCCTGCCTCCCTGTTAAGCAATAGTAAGCCTACCAGTGCACGGGCTTAGAGTCAAACATCCCACTTCCCCTTCCCCCCTTTAGCAAATGGGAGCCAGAGATCTGAGCATCTCTTGGGAGGTTGAGCATATGCAATAGAGCAAATAAGGGGGATTTCCTTTACTGTCTTTTTGAAGGAAAATATTTTTACTACCATTTTGCTTTATTCTGATTAATGGTATTGTTCTATTCAATATTCTGTTTTGATAAGTTCTATAATATTGTGTGCTTCATTTTATTTTGCTATACATGATTGAAAGAAAAATTATTGTGATGATAACGAGATATACTGTGATATCTATTGCTGTTATCCCAGTAACCTGCTATGAAGTTCTGTACCAGTTGTTCACTACACTGTCTCAATTGGCTTTGCTCTGTCTTGTTCTGTTGTATTTTACTACCTTCAAAATAAAAAAAAATGTCATCTGTACTGAACATGTATAGATTTCTTACCTTGTCATATTCCCTAATAGCTATTTACATTTCACTTATATTGTGGTAGTTATAAATAATCTAAAGATGAGTTGAAGTACGGGAATATTTGCGTAGGTTTCATACAAATACTGTTGTATTTATATGAAGTTTCAAGAATAACACTTTATAATAGGTACTTAAGTAACTGCATAGTTTGGAAGCAGCTGTCCTGAGAATATGACAGTACATATATATATATATATATTTAACAGCCTCACGAGGTCAATCTAGGAAGTTATGATAATAATATAGCCCATGATAATGATGGTTTAGAGTATGGACAATGAAAATAGAAGAGGGAGATTGGGAAGAAATTTAGGTGAATCAGTTCTTGGTTATATGTAGCATGATGGGACAGCAAGTCAGCTTTTGGCTGTAGCCAGTAGGTATATCTTGGTTCCATTTACTAAAAAAAGCAAAAGAGAATGGTTGCTGGGATGTTATGAGGGAGACTTTCAGAAGGGGAATAATTTAAGATGATAAATACCAGGTTGTGGGTATGGATGGTAAAGTAGAATGGAAAAAACTTACGAATTACTTTTTCTAATTTTTTTTTCAGAAGATCTGCTTGAAATGTGGTTTCAGCAAGGTCTCAGTTTCCTTCCTATAGCCCTTGTTATTTGGACAGCTGCTGCTTTCACGTTTTCATACATTACTGCAGTGACACTCCACCATGTTGACCCTGCTTTGCCTTATATCAGGTGAGTGATACATATTCTTTGTATAGGAAAAGCATATGTCTTATTCATAGTTTACATAGTTTAAAGCCAATGTTTTGTGTGACCATTTTGTAATTAAAATTTTTACATTGAAGTTATAAGAATAAAGGAATGTAAAATGAAACTTGTGCTTAACTCTATGTGGTACAGAAAATGTGGAGACAGCAGGACAAGATACAGTTAGTGGCTTGATTAATGAATTGTCACCTTTTAGTGCCTTGTCTTCCAAATAAGTGTTCAGAGTTATCTTAGAACGTGTAATTGAAATTATTCTCTCCTTAGAATTAAAAATGCTACAAACAATAGTAGTAATGGAAAACATAGTAATGAGTAACATTAAGTTTATAATGTAGAAGATAATGTTCTAAGCATTCTTCATGTCTTAGAAATGGAATCTTTGCAGCATTTATATGAGGAGAAATGGGAACTGTTATCCTAATTTGAGAGAGGAAGGTGTCACCTTGCCATTAGTTGAGATAATCATGGTTTGACTCATGATTTTGAAGGTTTTTGTATATGATCAGTTGGCCCAGTTACTGCTGGCCTGTGGTGAAGCAGTGAATCATAGTGGGTACATATAGGAGAGCAGAGCTGCTTTACTTTATGGTTTAGGAGCAAAAGAGGTTGAGAAGGGGGCAGAGGGTTACATTATCCCTTTCAAGGGAATTCCGGTTGTCTTAGTTACTTCCCTTTTCGCCAAGGCAGAATATCCAACATGCAAAGTTACAAGAGAAAAGATTTATTGTAGCTTACAGTTTGTAGAGGTTTCATTTCATAGTTGGCTGGCACCAAAGCAGGGTGGCATGGCACAGGGGCATCACAGAGAAGAAACAGTTCCTGGCAGGCAAAAGGCAGCAAAGCAGTGATGTAGTGAAGAAGCAGCAGTAGCAACAGCAAGCCTCTTTTTATCCCTTATATTATATCTAGGCTACAACCCTCAGGTTGGGTACCACTCACATCCAGGGTAGGGTACCTTGCATCACACCATAAATTACACCCATCATCTCAGAATCACACATTCTTGATCAAGCCACTTAGAAAAGCTCCACCTATCACCATATGATGCTTTGAGGGGACCTCTAGATACAAGCCATAACATCAAAGATGATTTACAGACCTCCCACCGGGCCCCATCTCCTAAAGAATATTGACTCTGAATAGCACTTCTCCAGGAAGCAGCCTCACACACATGAATCTTTATAGGACATTCAACATTTAAACTATAGCAGAATGTTGGGACCAAGGTACAAACCCATATAGTTTACTGTATGGACCTTGCTCTTACTTTTCACGACATGCTGCCTAGATTTTTTTGACTCATTATCAACAGTTACCAGTAATGCTTTTGAAATCTTAAAACTGCTGATGATATGAATATGAATATTCTGTTTATAACCCTTTTTTAATTGCAAAATTAATGAAAAATTATTACAACAAATTTTAAACAGTACTACAGTGCTGGTAATAAAAGTAAAAGTTCCTTCTTGAACCCTCCAGTTTCTGCCTCCAGAATTGACTGATGGTTTGATAGATTTCCTTTCATAGTTTGGTTTGTTTTGTCATCTGTATTTTTATAAAACTCTTTCTTCCTTTTTTCTCATTTTCTGTTTTATTATTTTGTTCTCAATTTTATTGTATTTTTTTTTTTTGTCTTTTTCCTTTTAATCAGTACTGGGGATCGAACTCACGACTGCCTGCTTGCAAGGCAGACACTTATGCCGCTGAACTAAATCCCCAACCCCTATTTTATTGTGTTTGTATAAAGCGATAACATGTTGATTTTAAGCAATTACATGCTTAGGGTTTTCCCTTTTTCTGGCTATTACAAACAGCACTGTAATACAGATGTGGTAAACACACCTTTATACATTTGTGCTGATATTTAAGATTTTTTGGTAGATTCCTAGAGGTGGAAATGCTGGGATAGGTAATAGAATATTAATATTTTTAGTTTGACACTGCCAAGTATTCTTCTAAACCATTGTTATCAATTTGTGCATTCACAAGGAGGATAGGAAAAAATCATAAATGAATGGTTTTAGAGCTAATAAGGTTTAAACTTTTATGTAGAAGTTATATGAATTAAACAGGAATTGGAGGTGGTAGAAGTTACCAAAATACTGTTCTTAAATGATTAATCAAATCACAGTGTTTTAATCTGTTTCTACTAGGAATGCAGTTAGGTCTTAAAAAATGATGATTGAGCTTCTGTATGATAGCTTTGAAATATTTCTCTACAGAGATGCTAAATGAATTTTTGTTAAGTAATATTATTTTATGTTTGTTGTAATTGTTTCATTTATTTATTTGATTATCTTGTGAAAAATAACTGTTCCAACACAGAAAATAGCAAGGTTTTAAAGAGTGATAAAAGATACAGAAGATGGGGTTTAGCTTTCAAAAATGTCAAGGAATAATCTAGGCGTTATTATCTACATTCATTGTTATTTATCGTATATACAATGGGATAGTATCACAAAGGATGTAAGAAAATTAAGTGTACTTTGGGAATTTTTACAGAATTCCCCAAATTTTATTACTTTTAAGGTTGTGATTTTTAAGAGTGATTTGGTAAATAAGCATCAGTGTCCTAGAGAAACATGTAACTTAAGGAACTAGACCACCTCTTTATTTCTTGAGCGTTTGAGATAGCCTAGCTAGCTTCCACTTCACAATGTAGCTTAGGTTGTTCTCTAAGTTGTGATCCTCCTGCCTTTCTGCCTCAGTCTCCTAAATGCTAGGATTACAGGCACATATCACCACACCTGAACAGACTATTTTTTAGTAACTCTGAGAGAAGGTACAATATATGATTCATGAAGATCATGCAGTATTTTGGTTTCCCCTTCTAAAAACTTGTCTTATTTCACTTTAAAGAGCTTTGAATAATTTAAAGAGACCACTGACTTCTTTTTGCGAGTTTCAGTTTCCTGATAGTACTGTTTGTAATTAACTGATAGTACCCTAGACACCTCTTTTTTCCCTCTTGCCTTCTGCATTTTTATTTTTCTGCTAGTGAGCTTAGTTACTGAGGGATTTTTCCCCAACATTTAAAAATATTTAAACTCTAGTACAATACTTACTTTTACTTCTTAGGCTTGTTTCCTTTGTATTCAAAGTAATTAAACTAGTAATTAAACTTTTTCTTAGCTAATAGATCCTGTTCAAAAGGTTTAGCTATTATAGCCATAAAAGACAGAACCAAATATAAATTTCACTTTAAAAGCAGATTTTGTTGCTAGTGTGCTTTACATATTTTTTCTTAGCCATTTCAGGTGGTGGATATCTAAGTAAGGTGAAGTAGACTTGCGACAGCAGAAAAAAATAGAATATGTATGTATGTGTATTTCTTATATTTCTTACTTAAGCCTTACAGATATTTAATTTTTGGGATAATAATAATATACATACATGTATTTTGAAGTTATATAATCAAGACTTTTTTTGTGCTAGCATGTAACCTAAATAGTTTGATGAACACTGGATTGAAGTTCTGTGCTAATAAGTTGATGTGCATACTGTTTTCATTTTTAGGCCAGTTGATACCATTCTGTTTTCAAGCCATGTGTGTAATTGCAATATATGATTGAGTCAATCATCTTGGAAACGCATGCTGTTACTTATTTATGGGGCGATCCAAAACAACATCATTTGGAGTACAACCTCTGTTTTAAAATTACTATAATACAGATACATTGTAGGCAATTTTAAAGAAAGTGTGTGGGGATAAGGACTACTTTATTGCCATTCCTGAAGATGGTAAACAAGTAATAAAATCTCTTGCTTGTGAAAGATATTTTATTGTTTTGTAATTACTTTTTTTAACCAATACATTATTTTTTGTTTCTTTATTTTCACTTTAATTTCACTATAAATTTCTAAAGAGAAGAAGTTGGATGGAACAATGCTTAGAATTCATATTTGATAATTTCTTTTTCTTAAACCCCTAATCTAAGTGTTCACCTAATGTTATTTTTTACTAGACATGACTTTTTATTTCTTTTTATTCCTAGTGCATTATCTCAGTTGAGATCTGGATTATCTGATTCCTATAATACTTGAAGGCCAAAGACTTTGTCTTTTAATCATTGTAGTAATTGAAATAAGAGACAGGAATAAATATTTAATGGATACCTTCACTCTGCTGGATACTTTCCATACTTTACACATTACATCTCATCCTTAGTTTCATACAATGAGGCTGAGAGCAAATAAGTAGTTCCATTTTGCAGACAAAGGCATAATCTTAGGGAGATAGGAGAATGTGCCTAGGGTCCCAGAGTTAGTAAATGGTGGATTTTCTGAGTCTGTATTTCCGTGTCTTGAGGGACTACCATATAAACAGACACATTGCAGTGCAGTGCAGGTAAGTGATTCTGATAGAAGCCTGGACAGGATACAGTGATTCACTATCTCCTGGAAGAGTAGTATTTGTCTTGAATGTAATCTTCATGAAGGCAGAGGCTTTGTCACTTTACTTTCCTCTGTATTCCTGTTTCAGGAATTCTGGCACATGGAAATAGTGCTTGATAAATATTTTCTTAATTGATCAATAAATAATCAGGTATTAATTTAGAGGTGGAGTTAACAGGTTCAGAAAGGCAGATTGAAGGGAATCATGATATTTATGAAATATTCTAGAGAGACAGATAAATACATACGATTTGTTGCTGGGAAGTCAATAATACAGTCTTAATATATCAGGGATAGATTTTTAAAAAATAAATTTTTATGTTGATTTTTATTATGTAGGTAGGAAAAAATCTTAAAAGATATCAGAAAATGAAATAGGCAAATATTTATAAACTCAAATTAGCCAATTGTCTTTACAAAAATGATGTAATAGAACTTAGTAGCTTTTTATAAGATAAAGGATTCAAAATGACTTCTATTACTGCTTACTCCTTAGAAGAATCTAATATAAAAAGTCCAAGTACTTTGTCTTTTTCTTTCAGTGACACTGGAACAGTGGCTCCAGAAAAGTGCTTATTTGGGGCAATGTTAAATATTGCTGCATTTTTATGTAAGTATTAAAAGTAGTGATAACAAACAAATAGGTAAATTTTTTCTTCGTTAAACAGAATTGTGTTAATTATTATCTAGTATTTAAAGTTGTGCAAATATAGTCACTAAGTTATGTATTATAGTTATGTTCTTTTTTTTTTTTTTTTTTTTTTTTTTTTATATCGGTACCGGGGATCGAACTCACGACTGCACGCTTGCAAGGCAGGCACTTATGCCGCTGAGCTAAATCTCCAGCCCCGGTTATGTTCTTTTTAAAAGAAAAAAATTATGGAACTGATAAACCTTTAAGAAAGAGCTGTAGGGCTGAGTACTCATTCAAATAGAAGTTGTAAGCACAATATTAAGCACCAAATATTCCTTGAGGCATTAAGTTGATGTCGTAAGCTGTTAGTGGTGAGGCAAAAACTGGATGCAACTGACCCCAATTAAATTGCATTAGTTTAGAAGTTTAAGAATAGAGATGATGTTGATCACCTTGTATTATGTTTTTACATTATCTATTATATCCACCCTTTTGATTTGACCGACTCTGTTCTGTTATGTCACATTTGGTTTTACTCTCTTCCAAAAAAGTAATGAGAACCGTGGGAGCAATAAAACCCAAAATGTGTAATAGTCATTGTACAAAAGAGAGGAAAAGAAAGTGCTCTAAATGATATAACTGCATGTATATTTAAGTGTATAATGTAGAAAATGATATCACTGAGTTTTATTGGATCATTGAACAGAATTGTTTGCAGTATCATTGTTGGAATGTCCACTTTACAAGCTTTAATTTTGTGACTTGAACAATTATTTCTAAGGTGACAATATGTAATCCATTAACTAGTGATTTCCTACTGTTTATTTTTTTCTGTAAATCTGTATGGCTTGTACCCTTTCTCTGCTTTTTTTTTTCTCCTTAAATAAAATAAAAAAAAAAGAATAGAGATGAAAGTATGTTTTGATTTTTGCATCTTAATCTAATGTTAAAGGAACCTATCGGGTTTTATATTACTGTTCATTGTATTTTTGAACCAAATTTTTATTGACTTTTTTAACCAAATGTGATCATTTTAAGTATTTACTTTCATCCGTATATTTATTATATCAGAAATAGAAGTCAGGAAAATGATTGAATGTATAGAATTTTGATTTTAATAAGGTCTTCAGAAATATATCTACAAAAGCCTGTTATGTTTTCTATACTCTTGACTTCTGTGGCAGTAGTTCTACAGTACAAAGTTCAATTTGATCCATTGTTTACAAATAAATAAAGTGGCCTTTTCTATTTCGTCTTTATAATTTGACTGCTACATTTGATTGAGCCAAATAGTAATAATTTGAAATAAAATTATATGAAAGTGAGGCAAGTAAGTTTTTGGAGCTTTTTTTTTTTTTGCCTATGCTCATTTCATCCAGATTCTGGAATTAACCTTGATGCTAATGTAAAAAAGATTTTTATATAACTCTGTGATTTTCAGAAGCCATGAAACTTACCTCTAAAATATTATACTAAATGTTTTTATATGTGAGATTAATGGAAGGCAAATAATTTGCTCAGGCTCACAGAAATTCCAGTAAGTTAAAGACACAACCTTAATAATTTTTTAAAATTGAATTTTGTGTGTTTTGTGTGTTCTCCTAGATTAACTTTGAAAGGGAAAAAATATATTTCTACAGAAGTGACCTTTGTGAACTCGACTTTGGAAATTTTATTACTTGGTTATTTATTATATTGTTGTTTGTCTATTCTCAGGCCTTGCTACCATTTATGTTCGTTATAAGCAAGTTCATGCCCTGAATCCTGAAGAGAACCTTATCATCAAATTAAACAAGGCTGGCCTTGTACTTGGAATACTGAGTTGTTTAGGAGCTTCTCTTGTGGCAAATTTCCAGGTTTGTGTTTTAGCCCAGCATAGACATTTTCCTGAAATACATAAATGTACGTATTGTTGTGGGCCAGGGATTTAGCTCAGTGGTGTAAGTGCTCACCTGGCAAGTGCAAGATCGCGAGTTCAATCCCCTGTAATCACCCCATAAATAAATAAATAACCTGAAACATTCAGTTAAATGCTGCTATTGTTTCTTTTCCTTAACAAAGCAAAATCTACTGCCTTCATATTATTTAATTCTCTTAGAATTAGCTACTTTTAGCTACAGTTAGAAAATTAGCTACAGTTAGAAAAACTCATATTCAGTAATCTGAACAAATGAAAATTGTTCTTTTTTAAAGTTAAAAGAACAGTTACTATCCTCTCTTACTATTTAGTTGGAGATTTTTTCAAGACCAAACAGAGAACTATTATAAATTTAACTGACACATTTAGACATTTAAGCATTGGTTTTTTTCGTTTTTACTATACCTAACAACTTTCAGTCATTTATCTTTTCATATGCTTGTTTGGATGGTTCTGTTGTTTGCCGCTATTCCTAGGTGTCCAGCCTTGTACTTCAGGATGTAAAGGAGTAGTGGTAACATTTCTAGCTTTTTCTCATAGAATTCTTAATGTTAAAGTAGCAGTCAACAGATACAGTCATATAATTGAGGTCACCTTCTGAGAAATGTATTATTAGACAGTGTTGTTGTGGAAACATAATAGATTGTGCTTTTGTAAGCTGGGCTATCACATCATCAGGAAATGTAATGTTTATTATATGTATGTTTATGCCTCATAATAACTAGTCATTCATCATGGAGAATCGGTACATATGCATTATCATATCTTGATCATTTTTACTGTCCCTTTCTCTTCTCCATATAATCTTATGCTGCTGAGCTAAATCCCCAACCCCAGGTTTTTTGTTTCTCCATATAATCTTAATTGAGCTATCATTGTATACTTGATCTGTTGTTGGCAGAAAAGTTACTGTGTGGTGCATTATTCTATTGCATACTTTTCACATTCCTGTTGGCATCCTTTCAGAAGAGTCTATATTAGTGACTGCATCCTGTTTGTGTGCTTTTTGATTAAGCTCTCTGTAAAAAACTTTAAACATTTGATAACTTGCTTAGTATCTCATAATTATTTAAATATACAGACATTTATTATACAAATACAGATGTGTGAGCATATTTTGTGTCTCTTATTTCATTCATACTCAGCTTTTGATTGGTCTGTCTTGTTTTTCAGTTTTTTAATTATGGTTAACACTAGAGGTTGAGTATTCCTTTACCAAAATTCTTGGAACTAGAAGTGTTTCAGATTTTGGAGTGTTTGGGAGCTTGAAACATTTCACATTTTGGAGCCTTCTAGATTTATGAGCATTTTGGAGTTTCAGGTTTTGTTTTAGAGATGCTCAGCATGTAGTAGCCTTTTTAGAGTCTGAAAAATAAGGTAATTCTAGCTACTGTGAAAAAGCTCAAATTTCAGTGGCTTGTCACGTAGAAGTTTATTTTTTAGATATTTGTAGTCAGTGCAGGTTTTTTGATTGACAGGTAGCTTTTTTTCCTCCCACAATAATTTAAAGTAAAACCTTTGTTCCTCTCTCATCTCTGTTATGCCATATGACACTACTGGGTGCTGCATCCAGTTGGTTGAAAAAGTAAGAGATGCAGAACTCATACATGCTTCTTAAAAACTTCACCGTTTTTCTTTTAATTATCCAGTAACACTTTTTTGGGTGTGGGATACAGGGATCGAATTCACAACTGCATGCTCACCAGGCATTTGCTTATGACACTGAGCTAAATCCCTGGCTCCCCAATAACACTTATTAAAGAAGATAATACAGACGTTGTTTAGGACCATCTTGAAAAATAAAGAGACCACTTTAATAGTATTTTACAATAGGGGAGAGTAATTGGGCTCAATTTACAATAGAGAGTAAAATGGGAATTTATAATCAAGAAGCAGGTGATAATCAATAGACAGAAAATTACTAAGAGGAAATATCAACTATAAGGAAAGATTCTGGATCGCTCCACCTAAAAGCATTCTTGGTGAAGGCAGGTCACAGTGATTAGATATCACCTAGGGAGTTGGTGGTGGAGGTTGAGGAATCCAGTCAGATATTCAGGTATTTTTAAGATGGAGGATTCCTTCCAGCTTACTTGATTTAGGCAGAATTAATTCTGCTAACATTGGACAATGCAGAAAGGTAAATAGAGAACCCTAGAAGTTAGCCTTAATAAAGAAGAAAATCTGGAGAAACCTATGTAAAGTTTGGTTGAGGAGAGATTTTTTTGACTAATTTTATTCCACTGAATTTCATATGCTAGGAAAGGATTGAGAGATTTTATCTGGAAAAATGTAGTTTTATTGGACATTAGTTTTCAGGAACAACTCTGCTATAAATGGGGAACAAAAGCTAGCCAGCTGTGTATGGTAGTCCTGTGCTTCCTAAACAGATTTTGTAGCTCAGTGTTAAAAAAATATCTTGTGAAATTTTAAAGGTATGAATAGTCATTGTTTGCTCTAGTTGTGATCAATTTAACATATTTCTCATCATCTGTATGCTAAGAATGAAAATCCAGTATTTACACAACCCAGTAAAATCCAATAGCAGTTCCAGTAGCGCACATATGAGTTGCCTTTTGCCTTTATTTCATTGCCTTTGTAAGACATTTCATAAACTTTCTTTGTCATTTCCAGCTTTTATTTTAATTTACCCTTTACTACAAATGTCTTCTTGTATTTATAATTTTGGATCAGAGTTTTTATTCTCTTAATTTCATCTCTTCATGTAACTGAATCTCTTGAACATCTTTTTCTTCTCTCATTGATGATTTTCTTGTTAAGCTGTTTTCAGCAGACGCTACCCTTACATAGATATCAAGTAACTCCCCTTTATTTCTAATGTAAACTTGTTAATTTAAAATAAGTGCACTGTATCCTCCTTGTCCTGCTCTTCTTTCTTCTATTTCTCCTCTCTCCCTATTCTTTTCAGAGACAAACTCTAGTTGATTTATTCAGGAAACCTTATTTACAAACTAGGTCTGTAAATGATTTACAATAATGTTGTCTTGGCTTGAAATAGAGTCTAGTACTGTTTTAAATAGAGTAAGGACTTTCTGGTTTTCTCTCTTAAATATTTCTTGAATGCATCTGCTTCTCTCCATTTCTGCTTTCCTCCCCACCATCTCCTTTTCGACCAGTGCAGATTGCATCATTGTTCATCTGGACAGCTGCCGTTGCCTCCTCAGTGGCTCCTCTGTAGTCGTTCTTACTTTCCTTTAATCAGTTCTTCATGTTGCAGCCACAGTGCTCTTTTGGAAATATACAAATATCTCTCTGTTTCTCTAAAATTCATGAAAAAGAATCAAGAGAGGAACAATAATTTGATGTTGTCAAATTATTTAATGAACATAAATATCTTACATAAACTGGCTCTTACCTGTCTCTTTGGCTTCATTCTACATTATTCCCATTCTTAATGTCTCCATTCTATGTAATTCTGACCTTTTTTGTTGTTGTTCCTTTGTCACAACCCCCTAAACAAAATGAATTCAGGCAATTTAAGACCTCAGTGTTGATCATACTGCCTCAGGGAAGTCTTCCGTTCCTATTTATAGTGTATTTTGAGTTTTTGTTGTGTTCACTAAGCCTGTGATACATATAGCTCTTATTACCAGTCTAATTTTGTATCAGTAGTTTAAAATTTTATTTATCAGCCAAGCATGTTGGTGCATGGCCAGTATCCCAAGACTTGGAAGACTAAGGTAGGAGGATTGATACAAGTTCTAGGCCAGCCTGTGCTAGGGAGTTCCAGGCCACACTGAAGTCCATTGTGACACCTTGTTTCAAAAAGCCAGAAATAAAATAATCTGTTTTTTAGTTTATTAATTTCTTCATTGACTGTTAAGTGCTGTGGTTCACTGTTGTATCTCTAGTACTCAAAAGAGTACTTAGAATAAATGTGGTCTTGTTCATTATGTAAGAATTTATTGAGAGGGCCAGGGTTTAGTTCAGAGGCACATGCACCTATCTGACAAGCGCAAGGTTGTGAGTTTGATCCCCAGTACAAAACAACAACAACAATAACAAAGGGGAAAAAAAAGAAAACAAAAGATTATTGAGAGATGCTAAAGGGTCTAAGTAAGTTGGGAAAAATCTTTCTTATCTGTTTGTCTATATTTAAAGAGATGACTAAAAATTGCTATATTACTTGAAACATATAAATTTAAAATACAAGTTTCTGAGTTTTGCATTCTGTATATAGTATTCAACAAAATGAATATATGGTAAATGACCTCAGTGCACACTCAGAGGGATTTTCTGCTTTCAGGAAATTTATTTTCCAGGGGATAGGAAATAAGTAATCAAAAAAATGTATTAGTTTCCTAGGGCTGCCATAATAAAATACCACCAAGTGGGTAGTTTAAAGCAAGAGAAATTTAGTCTGTCAAAGTTCATAAGCCTGGAACTCCAAAGTCAAGGTGTTGGCAGGAATAGTTTTCTCTTGTGTTCTCAGGGGGAGCATCTTTTCCTAGTCTCTTGTGGTCGAGAGTAATTTTTAGTGTGTAATTTTTAGTATTCTTTGGTTCAGGGCAGCATGACTCTTTATTTCTTGTGATCAAATGACATTCTTCCTTCCCAGAAAATTTATTCTCAAGGAGACTTTGGAAAGGCTAAGAATAAGTAAGCAGATTGGTTCTTAAGTTTCATTAACTGCTTTTAGATAAAGATTATAGACTGCTCATAGGTAATGTATAAGTTCCATATCTAAGATTTGCTTTTGACCATTTCTGTATTTTCTCTTTTTTGTTGTTGTTGTTGTGTCAAAGCATAAATTTTTGTGTTTTTTTGGTACAGAATATGTTTTTATGTATGTGTATATGTATGTATGTATTTATTTTTTGGTACCAGGAATAGAACTTGGGACATTGCACTTGCCAAGCAGGCATTGTGCTACTGAGCTATACCCCCCATCACAGATATATTTTTAAGTAGAATAAACTTTTGAACATCTATCAAAGATTTTAACTTATTAATCAGAGAAACAAGATATAACAAATCAGTTCAAAAGAATAGTACGAATACCATACATTGATAGAAAATGTTGAAATGCATTTAGGAATAGATGCAACATTAGCAAAACTGGCCATAATTCATAATCTGATAATCAAGTTGTATTTCATAATACACAATTTGCATTCATCTGGGTAAGAAGTTTTAGTAACAATTTTTTAAAAATTATTTTTCTTAACTGTGAAAATTTAATTTTTTATTTATGCTTTTTTTAACATAAATTTTCTTTTAACTTTTTCTCTATATAATTCCTGTTATATTTGCTCTGTAACATAGCTTAGTCAAAGCCAAATAAAAGCTTCTTTTTGTAGGGCCAGTAAATTGTCAGTCTGTAGTATTTCTTTAAAGGGGCATTGAGTAATCTCAAGATCTTTCCCTGTCTCTAAAATGGCAAAACTAGAGTAAGAAAAAAAAAAAACCATTAAAACCAGTTTCTTGTATCCCCATTTCAATAATAAAAAATAATAAATGCTCTCTGTTCTTTATGGTTTTTCTTTTTGCTTTTTAACTCATGAAATTTTGTTAAGCTACAATATATTGACATTGATCAGGCTATATGTATATTTAACTTTATCAAAATATAACATGTCAAACCCTATAAAAGTAGTTCTTTCCAAAAAAGAAACCAGAAATCTATTGTTGTATTAGGCACTTCCTATAATTAAGGCGATTGAATTAAGAAAATTGAACATTGTTTATAATGTAGTACAGATTGTGTAGAAAGTGTAATGTAGAAAGAAGGAAACTAAACTCAACTCTAATCCATCCTTGTTTTTTTTTTTTTTTTTTTTTTTTTTGGTCTTTTTTGAGACAGGGTCAGGCCTGTGCAGTTCAGGCTGGCCTCGAGCTCACTTTGTAGCTCAGGCTGCTGTCGAACTCACAAGATCCTCCTGCCTCAGCCTCCTGAGTGCTGGGATGACAGGCATGTGCCACCAAGCCCAGCTTAATTCATTTTTGTTGTTATCTTAGTTTTAAGTAATCTCTGTACCTTTTCATCAGCAGGAAATACAAATTTCGTATATCAGAATTTCAAATTTCCTTTTCATTAGCAGGAAATTCTAAATTTCATGTATCAGAAATTTAGAAAAAGCAATTCAACCAAAAACTTTCATGTAGTATTTTTAACCATAGGGTATATATAATTGTCACTTTTAAGCATGGAGTATATATAATATTAAAAGTAAAATTAAGTAGATATCTGTAAGAGGAGTAAGACAAAGGAAAATCTGTGTCATATAATCAAAACCAAATAAAACTAGAATAAAGGATAAGTATTTTCATTTCTCAGACCTTTAAATTATATTTAAGTGTAAATTGGATTTCTTTTAACACTATATGCTATATTGTGGAATTTCCTGATTTCTAAAGTTTATTCGTTGTTTGTAAATCTTCACTAGAATTAAACTGTATGAGGGTTATATTTTTGTCTCTGTTCACTGTGTATCTGAGGACTTTTACAACTTTCTGGTATCTGATAAGTACACAAAAAAACATTAAATGAGTAAAAAAATAAATGATTAATTACCATTATATTTTCCACAGTGACATATAAAATTGTTTGGTTTTACTGTAATCTTCAGGTTTATGTTGTTATGAGAGACAATTAATACAGGAAGTCCTTTGCATGTGGAATTTGCAGTTTCTCCACTTGGTGAATGAATGCAGTGTTTAAATCTGGCTTGTACTTTTAGATACTGTGTTGCCAGTGTATTCTGAATTTCTTTTACTGACTTACTTTTTTTTTTTCCCTACCTCTCAGAAAACAGCTCTTTTTGTTGTACATGTCAGTGGTGGTGTGCTCACTTTTGGTATGGGCACACTTTATATGCTTGTTCAGACCATCCTTTCATACCTCATGCAGCCCAAAATTCACGGCAAACAAATTTTCTGGATCCGACTACTGTTGCTTATTTGGTGTGGAGTAAGTGTATTTAGCAGTATCCTTCACTGTAAAGTATGGGTACAGTTGGAAGGGAACTGAGTAGCAAAATTTAAGGGAGTACTTATTGGCACAATGTGAGTACCTTTTAGATAAAAGAGATTCTTAGGTTAGTAAACCCTAAACCAAAAGATTTGAAACATTAAATTCAGATTGAAATTCAATAACTGAGCCAGAAACTAAGATACTGTTTAGGTTGGTCATACTCATGCCAAAGAAATGAAGGCTAAGTTAGTGTTTCCCTACATAATTATAAGTTCATGGCAGAACTAAATTTCCAAGAAAAAAGAGAGGGATTGACTCTGAGAATCATTTTGTGGGAATCTTCTGGGCATGTTTTTGGTTTTACTACTCAATGTGACATTAAATATTTAACAAAATGAATTTGGACTTTGGCAACAAATGTGTGAGTTATCCTTTTGGGCTTTGAAAATGAAGGGTTTTTTGGATCTAACGATCTCTGAGATTCTTCCTTGACTTATTTTCTTTTTTATAGTGTTGATTTGCTCATCAATGTTGTATAGTGGTGACTTTGGCACTGATATAGTACAAAAACTTCACTGGAACCCTGAAGATAAAGTAAGAATTTAGAGACTGTAAAGACTGTTATCATATTAAATATGACTCTCTTGATATATTTTCATTTTATCAGTATCAAAGAAACTTCCTTGATAGAATAACGAATTATGTGTTAAGATTTTCTTTCTAGTTACGACTGAGTTTATATAGAACCATTCACATTAAGACATGAAGAGAACTATGAGGGCAAAAGAGTTTTCTCAAGAATTAACTCCCCTAAATGTGGACGTAGTATATCACTTGAGATTTATAATATAATTATTAGAATATTTGTTTTCTGATTGAAAAGATATCTTCTGCATTTTATTATCTGAAAATTTCTGGACTTTGCATTTCATTTCCAGTAGAGAGGCTTTCTGCATCAAGGCAACATCTTTGATCTCGGTCTTAAGAGTAAAAGAAGGTTTTCACAAATGACTGAGTGACATTTTACTTTAAACTATTTTTAAAAGAATCATTTCTGATTAAAATACCTTTATGAGAATAAGTAAAATTACTAGATTCTTCTAGTTGTATCCTAGATATTATTTAATACTGTAAAAGGAATCGTTTTAGTTAGTATTGTTTAACTTTTCTTTGTGACCTTTAATAAATCATGTTGCTTTGGGAATGTACACTAGAAATTGTTCTGATTCTCTTAGTTACGTAAATGAAAATTTTACTTGTTCTAAGTGATTTTAAGTACCATTTAGGAAGAATTTCTAATGTCTAGTCTTTAATCACAAGATATATTCAATAAATTGAATTAATTTTCAGAGGGCAGACTGGTTTATAATAATTTAAGCTTTTTTCCTTGAGAATACTATAATTATTTAAATGAAATTTCACAATTCTTTCTTGTCCTATCTCAAGGGTTATGTGCTTCATATGGTCACTACTGCAGCAGAATGGTCTATGTCATTTTCCTTCTTTGGTTTTTTCTTGACTTATATTCGTGATTTTCAGGTAAGAAAAATAAATTTTATTTAAGAAAACTTTTTTCAGAGGGAGTAAAAGAAAAATTCCTTGGTAAGTTCCAGGCTTTTTAAAAATTAACAGCTTAACATCTGGCACCATAAACAACATAAAGGCATCTCCTCTAGTTGAAATTATTTGGTAAGGTAGTGTATTATTAGCGTGTTTCAGCCTTATTTGAAGATACTTTTAAAATAGAATTTTCATGTTCATTGTACAGTTACAGAAGCCATACTTGACATTTAGTTTTATTGATTTTGTTTAGTAGAAACTAAACAAAAAATAGTGCACTTTCTAAATATAGAAGCTGGTTTTTCCAGATTACTTGGTAGTAAGTAAGGATGATGTCTTACTACTCCTTCGACTGATTCGTATCTCTAATCAAAGAAGATAGTCTATAGAATGTATTGAAGAGATAATTGCTAAGGAGCAAACTTCTCTGTATAATTTTCTCTTCTGTTCCAGAAAATTACTTTACGCGTGGAAGCCAATTTACATGGATTAACCCTCTATGACACAGCTCCTTGCCCTGTTATCAATGAACGAACACAACTACTTTCCAGAGAATTTTAATGAAAGGATAAAAGGTTTCTTTGATGTTTATGATTCTCAGGGCTGGGGGAAAGGTTCACAAAAGCTGCTTATTGCACTTTGAAATTTCAACTAGTTAATCAAGCCGTCTGTGACATTGATGAATACTAATAATCAGGAGATATAAAACTGTTCAATAGTTATTTTTGTGATATCACTTAAAAATATTTATGCCTCTTTTTATTCTAGAAAATAAAACCAAATGTCTACAACATTGTTATATTTTCACTGTAAGAGAAACAACTTCGGCCTTTCACAATTTGTAAGTCATTGTAAAAGCATGTTTTCATAGAAATACTTTCATGAGAAACATTTTCTTTTACCTCAAATAAGCAGTGTTAGTCATCATTTAGAACTGAGTTTTGAAGTTGGAGTGTTGCCGTCCTAATACATTTCTTACGGTCTTGGAAAAAATTTTATTTTATTTTATTTATTTTTTGGAATCTGCATATGACAGAACAATTCAAGTGAATTCTTTTATAACATAAGCTTTGCATAAGTGAATCTACCATAAGGCCAAGAACAATGGTAACTGAAATATCATACATGCTTGCAGTAGTTTCCTGAAGCCTGTTCTCTCATGTAAGATTTTAATTACCAGTCAAGGAGAGAAATACCTATAATAAATTTATTTCCATCATGTTTTATATAAAACAAGGGTTTATATTCATAGATGAGAAGTTTGTGAGTTGTAGCAGATATGATCATTATTAAACAGAAACCACTGCGAAGTATAGTCAAGAGCCACTCAGATTTTCACTTAGAGCAAATGATTGATTTTCCTAGTGCATATTCTGAAGAACAAAACCAGAAATCCTAATACAGAAACAACTAAGTTCAAAATAATAGGCATACAATCATGTGTCAAAGGAATTTTCTTTGCTTTGAGGTTATATAAGTTATATATATAGTTTTTACTTTGAGTTGTATCTTTGTAGATACAGAATGTTTTACACATCTCTGATAAGATTAGAAGGGAGATGATGTATATCTTGAATGTGCCCAGTGACAAAGAGATTTGCAAGAGAATATTTGAAGAAGATTAGCAAAGCTTAGATTTTTTTAAAGAGAGAGTTCCAGGGGTATAAGAAAAGGTTGTAAGAGAAAGTTTAAAATGTAAGAAACAAGGGAAAATGCTTATATGTTGGAACTAGAGATTTCAATTATAAAGAAGTTGCTAGATATAGAAATCAATGCGAATAATAGGAATAATGTGTCTGAAGAAATACTAATTCTGAGCTAGTAAGAAAATGAAATTAAACACTATTTACCTATATTAAACATCATGGAACATGGGACCGTTTTCATCAAATATTAAGTGTTGCATCATTATAAAAAAGTTATATACAAATCAAAAAAGTATTATGTTTTTGAAAAGTATGGTATAACTATATCTGGGAAGTGCTGTCCAGTTCTTTTGCTGTATATGAAAGAAGCTAATTCTGAATATGAAGGATGCACAGTAAGATGACAGAAAAATTGATAAAATTGAAGCTCATGAAGCTAAATTATGTGTAAAAAAAGACAGGTGTAGACTTGTCTATTGCTAGAATATTAGACATAGAGATATATGACACATATTAAAAGAATTGCTTTGAGACAAAACAAATTACTTTGATAGTATTTAAGTCCCACTAGTATTAACTTTTACCCTTGGAAATAACATAGACTGAAAACATTAACCTTAAAGCTGAATTACCAGAAAACAACCATGCTGTATCCCAAAACATACCTGGCCTCTGCTGTCAAATACAATAGCTTGAGTGACTAGATAAAACATTTTTTACTAGTCAACATTTTGTGTTTAATCTTTGTGAGGTCTCTGCTAAATAGAATTACTGTTCTTCCATGTAGAATATTCCAAAAGAATAAGGTGAGTCAAATTAGAACTGTAAGTCAGATATGGCAGCATACACCTGTGGTCCCAGCATCAGGAGGCATTAGTTTGAGACCAGCCTGAGCTACATAGTGAGTTCAAGCCCACCCTAAATTACATATCTAGACCCTCTCTGGGAAAAAAAATTTTTTTTCCACTGCAATGAAGCCCATCTCTCCCTTAGCTGAAGATCAGATTGATTCAACTTCCCACTCCTGACAAAAGGAGCATACCCTATTCTAGAAGGACCTGTTATTTGTTTTCAGACATACTATTCTTTTATAGAAAATACCTAGCACATAGTAAAAAATTATAGGACATGAAAAGAAACAGAAAAAGTTGATCCAGAGATGAAAGTCAATAGAGGCAAACTTAGTTTAACAGATATTTGAATTGTTGAGAATTGATAAACAGATAAAAATGCTGAAAGAACTAGCAGAAAAAATGGGGAGAAGGAAACATTTGAAGAAATATAAAATTATAGCAGAGACACAGATACCTTAGAAAAATACCAACTGTTCTAGAATATGATTTAAGATAACCCATAAAAGAATAGGCTCATAAACTTGAAAGCATAGCAATTGAAAATATATAGTTAAAAAAACAGGAATGATAATAGAATATCAAAACTAACAAATCATCAGAAATTTGAAGGCAAATTCAGTTAGTCTACCATCTCTGTAACTGTGCTACAGAAGCAGATTGAGAAAATATTACAAAAGAAATTTTCAGACATCTTAACTATGGATTTCTTTGGAATTTGTGGAAATTAGCACAGAGAAAAATCCACAGAGCTCTTTTAAATAATTAAAGTTGATAAAATACATTGCAAAGACATTGCAAAGCATACTAGGCTGAACGAAGTAACCCCAGGTTTATATTCACCTGGAGCTACAGAGTGTCACCTATTTGGGAATTGGGGTTTTGTAGATGTAATTAGTAACTTCATGTTACATTAAGGTTGGCCTTAAATCCAATAACTTATAAAAAGGCCATAAAGAAACAGGCATTGAGAGAAGGCCATGCGAAAATGGAGGCAGAGATTAGAGTGATGCAGCTGCAAACTAAGAGATGCCAAATATTGCCCACAAGGAAAAGTTAAGGAGAGTTTGAAGAAGGATCATTTTCTAGAGTCTTCAGTGAGATCTCTAGAACTGTCAAAAAATAATTTGTGTGTGTGTGTGTGTGTGTGTGTGTGTGTGTGCGTGTGCATGTGCTTGTGTGCATGTGTAGTACTGGGTATTGACCTGTGGCCTTTACATTGATCGGTATTCCTTAACCCTATTTTTTAAGTTTTGAGACAGGATCTTGCTGGGTTCAAATTTACGATGCTCCTGCCTCTGAGAGTACTGGGATTATAGCACTACCACATCCAAGATAAATTTCTCTGTTATAAGCCACCCAATTTATGATTATTTGTCATATTGGTTTAGGAAAGTTGTTCAAGTTAAAAAGGGATCACAGCCATGCCTGCCTTTGTGTGGTGTGGGGAAAATCTGGTCATCTGTGTCCTCTAGTGCTTACCCCACCCTATAGGGTCTGGATGCATAGAGCCCTCATTCCCTAACCCTTGAGATACCACTCAGGAAGGTTTCCAACCTTTTCTTTCAGGGGCAGGACTCACTCCTACCCCTTGGAGAAGAAAGTTAACATTTTCCCTCCTTTGAGAGTCCAAAGGCATGAAGGGCTCCCCTTCTACCTCATGAGTGGAAGTTCTATGTTCTTCATGCTATCCTGATCTGGACTAACGAACAGCCAGTTGTAAGACACAATTAGTTTGTCGTTAGAGGTAGCAAGGGGGCACAGAGCCTTCTCTAGTGACCTTCTGATCTAAACAGCTTTTCCTAGCCACACCACAGACAGTGTCTGGAGGACTGGGGCCCATGTTCTACTTGTTTGTTCCTCTTGTGCCCTGTCTGGTAGAGCATTTCCTGAGTTCCTCATTTCTAGAACTTTCCACCCATTTATTACTATGATCTTTTTCTGTTTCCTGCCTGCAAGCCATGGAATTAACCAAAGGGGAAATGGCAACAGCTGCTTCAGGAATTTCAGGAAGTAGAGGAGGAAGAATGGAAGCAGGAATCCCAGGAGGCTGGAGGCTGCTGCTTTCAACCAGTTTGAATACCAAGGCAGTTAGAGGAACAGTTGGAAAGGTATATGAGTATTGTGGTGTTAATAACAATGCAAACCTCTCCCTGTTGTCTACACTGAATCTGCACTAACCCAGAAGTGTTACTGGGACATGGCTATGGTGAGTCATGCAGCGTGAATATTATCCGCAAAATCATCCACTGCTAATGGAGAAGTACCTGAAGTTGCAGGATTCCTACTGTACTCATTTGGTGTATTTGGTTTGAGAATAAGGAAGATTGAGGTTCTGGGAGCCAACAGTGCTTGCATAACATTTATGAAGCAGCTTGCAGGTGGTAGCCAAAAATACCTGGTTGGCAGAAAATGTTTTGAATATTCTGATGGAGCAGAGGGAATGAATACTGTGTCCTTATTACCATGAGGTTTAAATATGTTTCCACCTCATTGTGGCCACCAGGGGACTGCCCAGGCCCAGGCTCTATGCCAGAAGGAAGTGGATTTCAGTATAGCACTGTGTCAGGAATTGTTTGTGGAGTGTTTGATGGCTGGCCAGGATCTCTTAAGACTACTTCAGAATGTGTTGCTAGGATAACAGAATTTGAACTGCCTAGGAAGGTAGTATTCATAAAAATACTCAGACCTTGAGTCCTCAGTTCACTGGTATTTTATAGCTTCTTCAGTCAAGAACATCTCAGAAATCCCTAACATGTCATCTAAACCCAGAGAATAAGCTCTTTATACCATCTTGGTTGCAGTTTGGTCAACAAAAGGAATACCAAGATTGGTTCCAGCACTATAATTTCTTCAACCCAAGGCAGTCACTTTCTGTTCTGTGATTTTACTTACTGTATTTTTGAGGTAGTACACCCTTCTAATGAAGTTATTATTTCAAATATCTTGCCCCGGCGAGCCATCATTTGATGGCTGTTGACAGCATGTATATCAAATGTTGCTACCTCTGATGACAAACTAGCTTTATATGACTTACTGTTCTTTTGTCAAGATATGGTAGAGTGATGAACATAGCGGCAACCATCTTGGTCATACATCACTCCTTGAAGCCTTATCCAACCACCATTTCCTCACTCCTGGACTTTACGTGCCATATTATTCTTGTCCTGGTTAAATGACTACAGGAGCTCTTTAAAGCCCATTTCTGTGGAGAAAGTGTTGCCCCAGGAGATCACTGAGGAGTCCCTGGAAGAATCTGCAGGGAAGCTTGTTTACCTAATATTTTAGAACCTG